AAACCTCAAAATGTTCATCTGCGTACGAGACCGCCTCATTGCACTGTTCTTCAAGTATTTTTGATTTTTGGAAGTGATGGGTCAGTTTTTGGCAGGATATTTCTCTTTTAGGTCAGGTGATTTTTCGCTTTCTATAAATTGATATACATGTACCAGCAAATATTTTCCAAAGTCCCTTCTCTGAGTTGGATTTTTCTAGGAAATAACTGAACGAAAAAAATATTACAAATTCTAAAATCTTTGCACGTTATTTTTCCCATCCAAGGGTTCTGGAAGCGCGCCATTAGGGGTCAATGATTCACACATTGAGGAGACTTTCACTGCGAAATTTGGACATTTTTCGCGTAATTAACACGCGTAGTGTCATCGAATGTCCATCCTGTAACAAAGGGGGCTAGGACTCATGAAAACGGAAAACTAATATCTATGCTCGATGAGCTGCTCCAACGAGTTCAATCTGAGTTATAATACCCACTCGATCAGAAAATCTGAATAATTGACCCCAAAACAATCCTTTTCGTCTTTGGCCGTGAAACGTGTATAGAAAGCTAGCATGCGAGTTTGAAAACGGCTACCACAGTTTGTCAGGAAATAAATCAATCAGGGAGAAATTTGATTTGCAGCAATCGTCATTGTAGGCCAACGGGAAGGCACTTTATTTCATGTTTGGCTTCCTCTCTAGGCTAATCACGTTTGCCAGCTTTGGACTTAAATGCAGACGAATGTGATTCGGGGAGTAAGGGGGCACCTTTTAAGATGGTGCGACATACGCGTGTTTCGAGGGGCAGATATTTTACTTAACGGGAAATATATGATCGTAACAAGATTTGAGTATTTTGTGAGAACATATTTCATCCACTGAATACGGTCGACCTGCTTTGTTAAACACCTCCTGAAACTCTCCTCTCTGTGAGGGAATTAAATCGTAATTCTGTATATATTCAGGAAAGTAAAATTGTTTTTAATTTCCCGAGGGTTTGTACTGTGACTTTGCCACTTCAGCGAGTAGATCTTTTAATTTTAAGGACTTATGTCAATATGTAAAAGTGTATAGCAGTAGACATTTTATTTTCTTTTTTGTTTTCGATGTCTGGAACATTTTGTGTTAACTTTACAAAGACGGACTTTTTTGGATACATAATTGGCCAAAAATGAATCGGTTTGCGATGTATCAGGGAGATCAGTTCAACAGTTTGAAGATTTTGAATCAGTTCTATTTTGGGTCCATGCAACATATTGGCGCCTGCACTCTTTGCGAGCGAATTATGATGATTGTGTTTCC